TTATGCATAGTGAAAATATAAAAGTAAAACAGGTAGTTAACTTTCAGTTTATCTTTACACATTTTATAAACTGTATAAACATAATAAAGATACATATGGTCTGCTTTAATTCAAATAACAGCTATACTCTATAATTCCAGTGATCAAATAAAATAATAAAATATAAAATAAATGAATAAATAACCAAGATCAAATAAATATAGTATATTTGAATGAAAATATATATATATATATTCTAAATCAATTATTCAATTAATTCCCAGTGAACTAAATTTAAACTCCATCTCTTGAGTTCCATTTTCTTCTCCTATACAAATTTAAATATAGTTAATAAACTAAAATAGATCAGAAAAAATAATCAGAATTAAATTTACCAATCATATTATCAGGAATTGAAAAAAATTGCTGTCTAGAATCTAAATAAATAATAATTAATATAAAATACTTTTTTCTAAAAGGAAAGATAAATAAATTAATTTCTTGCGAAATAAACTTACTAAACGTATCATATTCACTAATTGTAGGTTTAGGTATTATGAGTCTACTTGTATATATTGCTTCAGGATGTGTTTCATTCGGATCATATTGAATGAAATTCTTGTTTGATTTATTTGCTGCTTTAATTTGTTTCCTTATTTCACCATCATAAGAAAATTTAACAAATTGGGCTTTCAATTCTTCAGCAGTTGGACGATTGAGAGGTTCAAAACTCCAACATTTTCCCATTATCTCTTTGAGAAATTGAGGAATTTCAAACTTAATTTTAGGTTTAAGCCCCTTGCAAATATTTGTTGCAAGATTTGCATCATGTGGTATATTATAATATGGTGGATAACTAGTTAGAACTTCAAACATAACCATGCCAAAAGAATAAATATCAGATGCTTGGGTGTATTCTCCTCTACTCAATGTCTCAGGTGCCATGTATGGAATTACACCATAAATTTTTTTTGGATCATTTTCTGTAACTGGTTTGCACAGTCCAAAATCAGTAATATAACATAAAGTTAAAGTTTGATTGACTATATTACCAGAATGTAGATCTTTATGCATTAAGCCCATTTTATGGATATTTGCAAGTCCATATACAATAGTTGATAAAATATTATATTTGCTTCTCCAAGTTAATTTTTCAAACTTGTTATTCAACAGTTTTCGTAGACTACCATATTTTGCATAATTCATAACCATCATATATTCATTTTTTGTTGGATTTTTAGTGATGCCATAAATAGCCATTGCATTTTTAGTTCGAAAATTAAGTTGATTTTTAATCTAAAAGATTTATTAGTATAAATAAAATTTAATTACTCTATAATGTAAATATGGATGAAATTTAAACAATATGAAATATTTACTTCTTGCAAAAATCCATTTTTATTTGTAGAACTATCAAATCTTTTTAAGCAAACATCTCGTTCCTGGGACCTTTTCCAGTTTTTTACTTCATAATCCCAAGAATAAATAAGGCCATTGAGTAATTTTGCTTTGTATACTGTACCAAAACCCCCTTTAGCGAGGAATGTGACATTCTTAAGTTTATCAAATGGAATCCACTCAATAATTTCTTGACGGTTATTTACTTTTAGTTGTATTTGTTGAATAAATTCATCGATTTCCCTATCTTCACTTGTCCATTTATCAAATTCATTTTGAAAATGTTTGACATTACATGGCTGGCACCAATTTCTTCCAGTATTTTCTTGATGGCATTCACTACAATTTCCAAGAACACTGAAAAATATTATTGATAATTAATTAAAGATTTATTATTTGACATTGACTTCAATTATTATGAATCTAAATACTCACTTTCTGTAATAGATCAGTTTATAATTTATTAGAGAATCATTATATGAAATTGAAACATCTACTTCAATAATTATGAGTCCAAATACTCACCCACTGTAATATAATTAATCATTTATAATTTATTATAAAATTTTTATATAATATTGAAATTTGATATCAATAATTATGAAATTAAATACTCACAAACTGTAATATAATTTACGTGATGGACAAATAATTATTTATGTGATGAATATATAATTGATTAGATATTATAATATGATATCAAAACATTAATTTAATTAGTGTGAATCTAAATACTCACAAACTATAAGATAATATTGTATGTGATTAGTTTTTATTGATTAGAGAAGTGTTTTTGTATATGATATTAAACATTGATTTAAATAAAATATCTAAATACTCACATCCTGTGATATAATTTATATTGATTAGTTTATAATTGATTAGAGAATAGTTATGTGATAATTAGAACAATGTTTTCAAATAATTAGTAGTAGCGTTAAAATGTCCGGAAAGAGGATCGGAGTGCATAGAACATTGATTATGAATCCTTACCCACTGCAATATAATTTATATTATTTATATTGATTAGTTTATAATTAAATAAATTAATTAAAGAATTTTTATGGATAATAATATCAAGACATTCATACAATAATTTGAATCTAAATACTCACAAACTATAATATAATTTATATTTATTATTGCATTGATTAGAGAATTGTTATATGATATTGAAACATTGATTTCAATGATTTCGAATCTAAATACTCACTCACTGTGATATAATTTATATTGATTAGTTGAAAATTGATTAGATAATAGCCATATGATATTAAAACAAAAAAAAATGGTTTCAATAATTATATCTAAAATACTCACAAACTGTAGTATAATTTATTTTGAATAATTCATAAATGATTAGAAAATTATTATCAAAACATTGTGTATGTTCACATCCAGGAATTTGGATTAGATTGGGTAAAATCCAGATTTGACATCCATATCCAGTCAACTGAATCCAAATATTAATTCACAGAGATATGTGGTCAAATGCGAATGAAATTTTATAATTGATGATCCCAATCCAGATTGAATTTTGGATCCATTTGATGCGAACTGATTCATGTAACCTAAACCAATCCAATCCAATCCAAATCCAATCAGAATGTGAACACACCAATAATTACGAATATAAATACTTACTCACTGTAATAATATATATATATATGGATTAGTTTGTAATTGATTAGAGAATTGTTATATAATGTCAGAACACCAATTTCAATAATTTGAATCTTAACACTCACTCACTGTAATATATATAAAATATACAGATTAGTTTGTAATTGATTAGAGAATTGTGTTATGATATTGAAACATTGATTTCAATAATTGTGAATCTAAATACTCACTCGCTGTGATAATATATATATGGATTAGTTTTTAATTGATTAGAGAATTTTTTATAATATTGAAACATTTACTTCAATAATTATGAGTCCAAATACTAACCCACTGCAATATAATTAATCATTTATAATTGATTAGAAAATTGTTATACAATATTGAAATTTGATATCAATAATTATGAAATTAAATACTCACAAACTATAATATAATTTACGTGATGGATATATGATTGTTTATGTGATGAAGATATAATTAATTAGAGAATTGTGAAATGATATCAAAACATTGATTTCAATATTTATGAAACCTAGTACTCACAAACTGTAATATAATTTATATTGATAGTTTACATTGATTAGAGAATTGTTATGATATTGAAGCATTAATTTTAACTATGAAGATAAATACTCACTCACTGTAATATCATTTATGTGATTAGCTTCTAATTTATCAGATAATTTTTTATATGACATTAAAATGATGATTTCAATAATTATGAATCTAAATACTCACTCACTGTAGTATAATTGATGTGTAATTAGGTTATAATTGTTTAGAAGATTGTTATATGATATTGAAATATTGATTTCAATAATTATGAATATAAATACTCACAGTCTGTAAAAGAAAATATGTGATTAGTTTATGATTTAATTAGTGAATTGTTATTTAATTATGAATCTAAATACTCACAAACTGCATATAGATATAGGTGAAAGTTTATAATCGATTAGAGAACTTTAAAAAACTATGAAAATTGGAGAAAAAGCCACAGTTATAAATTTAAACACTCACAATCTGTAATATACATTAGTAGTATAAATTATATTGATTAGTAGTAGTTTATAAATGATTAGAGAATTATTATATAAGATACCGTATTGGAACAATAGTAACGAATCTAAATACTCACAAACTGTAATATAATTTATATTTGTTTATAATTGATTAAATTAGTATATGTAATTAATATTAGGAATAAATTATGATTTTAAAATAAGGTTTAATATGCATACTCTTCCGATTCCTCTATTTCATCCAATTCTTCCGAATCGTCCAATTCTTCTGAGTCCTCCAATTCTTCTGAATCCTCCAATTCTTCTGTTTCTCCCGTTTCTTCCATTTCTTCCGTTTTTCTCGTTTCTTTCATTTCTTTCATTTCTTTCATTTCTCTGATCTCTTTAATTTCATTGACTTCTTTAAACCTGAAAAGAAAGTATCACCAATATCCAAGCCACATTATCGGATTATTAAATTCCGTTTTGCATGCATTTGTACAACAATAATTACATAATTTTTTTTGACTATGAATGTTAAATGGTTATTAATTAGGATCCCACTTTGAACTCTACTAAATAAATATTTATTTGTTGTTCACGGAAGTTATCATTATCGTGAACATTCTTATTATTATCAATTTTTTATTTATTAATAAATAAATAAATTTTTATAACCAAATTATCATTTATTATAAATAATCAATTGATTTCGAAATGCCCGAACATAGGAGAATAAGAAAGTAGAATGACATATTGTGATTAACATGTAATAATAATTAATTGGATTAATTAAAATATTTAAAAAATACCGGCAGAACAATTAAAAACTATTGAAAATTTGCAAAAAAAAAAGAAAAATAAATAAATTGATATTACAACCAGTATATGATTTGCAATAGAGTTCTTTGTTTTGTCACTACTTATTTGATCGTTTATCGTCATCGCTCTAATCAGAAAAATCTTATGCAAGAAAAAGCATTTTAAAAATCCATTTTATTCAGGAGGATCGGTGTGGATATTATTCTCTCTGGTGGTAGTGGTAAGAGGTGAAATACCAATTTGACTTTTGGTTTTTGTTCTCTTGGTATCACCAATACTCTTGCTCGGATCGTCAAAGTTCTTCCTATCATCATTATTTATTAAATGAAATAATCAATATAAGAATGTGAATCGATATGATAAAAGAAAAAAATTGAAAATCATTAATATTAATAGAATTGAGGATTAACAATACCATTGAAATATGCATTTTAAAATAAATATTAAAGGTTTCAACATCTATATTAAATCAAAAAAAAAAAAATTTTTAGATTATACTTAGTTTCACCATCGTATAATTATTGTGAATCATCATCATTATTTATTACTTTAAATAGGAATATATTAATATTATTTTTCAGGAAGGAACAAGATAGTTACAAACTAGATCATTAATTATTTGTTATATAATTTATAGCTAATCCTATAGCCTTTATATAGTTACTTCAGGTTAAGACTCCATGTGTTAAAAATAAATTATTTACCTCCACCCGGAATTTTTTTTTTAGGCGTAAATCTCCGTAATATTACGACAACCGCATATATTTTACGGTATTTATTTGAATTAAATCAGGAATAACTCGCAATATTGGTGCTATAGAGATGAAACACATATTATCTTGTAGCCAGAACAAAGCATATATGAAGAACTTGACAAAAATCGCACCTTGTCTCACTCAAAAAGGATTTTTTTTTTGTTCATAAAAATTTCGGAGAAATTACAGAAAATTTTTGCGGTAAAAATTTTACGTAATTTTTACTCCAAAAAAATTCCTTTTTTTTTTTTTTTGAATTTGATCGCGATTTGTGAGACAGGAGCGATTTTTTATTAGTGTTCTTATGACCGATATCCGCCTAGATATTTCCGTTTGAATCAAAGCGGTCCATATATATACCGCAAATAAATTTCCGGATCGATGAACTTTAATGTAAGCTAACTAAATGTGCAGCAAAAAATTTCATATTTTCTTCGACGACAACATTATATTCTTTTTTGTCATTAAATTTTTTAATAAATTATCTCTCAATTTTTCAGAACTTCTTAATTATTTTTATTATTTGAAATTTCAAACTGACGGTACAATTTATTGAATCGACAAATATTTTCTATTTAAGGGTCACATGATTTATTAAATCTTAACTGTTCATCAGGATAAAGAAGCAATTTTTTTTTCATTATAAAAATAAGTAGAACATAAAATAAATGTATAATTATTATGCTCAGGCGACATAAAATCATATATGTCCAATATTAAATATTTCAAAAGTTTCGTGAAACAAACGCCAACTATAATGATTATCAATTTTATATACATACTCTATATTGAATATAATAATAAAAGATATTAATTTTTTTGTGTCATAATACCTTGGATTAATTCGAATATTTGAGCCGATATAAATAATTTTAAAATAAGAAATTGAAAATTTATTCACCCTTATCGAGATAACTGTCCCAGGAAACAGTTTTAGTGTAAAAATAATTCATAAGGTCTCAATTATAAATAAATGGATATTTTTATAATAAATAGAATTGTCATTAAAAATACAAAATATAGAAAAAAGATATTTCTATAAGCTATTTAAATAATGAGATTATATTATCTAATTGTACAGTTTGGAATTTGTTTTTTAGTATTGATAATCTTAAATACTTCATAATCTACGATAGAAAAACATCCATTAGTTGTTCTAATAGGTTTTTCATAAAAAGTCCCATATCTATAATCATGTTCACACCTACAAAATTTATCTTGAGTAAAATCAGAAACATTTGATCCCATCGTAAATTCACAGTTACCGAAATGTGGACCACAAATATTCCGTGCATCCGAATGACAATAAAGTAAAGCTTTACTTTGATCTTTGACTCTGCTGAGAGTTGAATTTCGAATATTACCATTTTTTAATGAAAAAATAAAACTACAATCTGTTTTCATATAAGCACCTTTTGTTTTATAACCAATTCCTGTTGAATTTTCCCAAGCCAAAGGATTATAACCACCAACTATTTCATCAGTTCCAGCAATCTTTGCAACCAAAATTGTACCGACATGTCCATTGCACGTCTCCCAAAATGTTTTGGGATGAAAACCATTTCTACTTCCTCGAAGAATTAATTGAAATTCATAAGGAATATTCGCTAAAGAATAAGTAGATGACTTTCGATCAATCCATGATGAAAGTTCTGCGACATGTTCTTTGTTGATTATAGTCGAGAATGGTTCATTCACTCTTGGCGGTAATCCAGGGGTTGAAATAGTTCTTGAAGGCAATTTATGAGTTGAAATTATTCTAGCTGGTAAAACAAGAGAAGTCACGGGTTTATTTGGGGATATAGAATGTAGGACTATGTCATTCCAAAGCTGTTTTTCGAGTATTTTTTCGTAGGGCTTCACTTTCTGCCAAATATCTTGACTGGAAATATGAAAATATCGGATAAGTGGTAAACATTGTTGTAGTGTTGTTTTTAAAGCCTTGAAATTTTCATTTGACCATTTTTCCGAATTATTAGGTAAAGTAGGATTTTGTGCGACTCCCCATTTGATGAGATAATCCCAAATTTTAATTTCTTCGACTTGCAAGTCATCTCTTTTCAAAATGGAAACCAATACCGCTTCTTGGAGCGATGTGAAATCTCCTGATTCAAAAATCAAATTTGGAAGTTTTACAATAATATCATTATAAAATTTTTTCAAACCTTTAAATTCATTTCCATCAAAGATTGAATGATAAATAAAAGAGAAATGAGTTCTTAACCAAGAGGCTTTAGATTCGATAAGATAACTTTCTAATCTTCCTGATAGTTCTTCAAACTCCAATTCATTAGCATTAATCATTAATTCATAAATGGTTTTGGTATCCGTGTTTTCAATATTGACAGTTCCGCCATAGATATATCTATGAATTTTAATATTAATTAAGAGTCACAATATATATTTAATTTAATATTTAAAGTAATAAACAATTTTTCAGCTTACTTAAGAATAATTTCGAATATTTGAGCGGAAATATTTGGTTTAATAATAGTTTTAATATAATTTTTATTCGGTTTAATAATAGTTTTAAAATTATTTTTATTCGTAGTAGCGTTCTCTAATTCTTTATCAAAGTAGGTCGAACGATAACGTAAGATAACTGAATGTGCAGTAAAAGATTTTTTATTTCTTTCTTTATCAACTTCGATTACAACATTATGTTCTTTTTTGTCATTAAGAAGTTCTGAAAAATCAAGAGATAATTTATCAAAAAATTTCAAAGACATTTTTTATTATTTTTAAAAATTCTACAGACCTGACTGCACTAATAGACGTTGTCTTCCCCGTTATACAATTTCTTGTGTAATTGTAATTGTGATTTTTTTTACTGTATATGCCAAAAAATACCATACGCAAATAAATAATATCGTATATGTATGCATTAAATAAACAAATAATAAATATTTTGAAAATCGCTCCGTTTTGTTAAACGTTACCTGAATTTTTGTAAGCAAATATATGAATAAATATAGATCACTGTATTTTAGTGAGAACAAACCGATAAATATTAAACCATTTTTATTTTTATTCTTAAATAACAGAGCGTGAAAGGCACCAAATAATAAATATTACATTAAGAATTTTCACAAAGAAAATAGTTACTAGGGGAATAAATATGAACTGTCAAAATATTTTAATTAAGTGTTGTCAGTTTAAATGGTTTGCCATTAAAAATTTATTAAAATTAATAAATTTTTAAGTCATTTTCTCGAAATTTTTTATTAAGTTTAAATTTTTTAAAAATTTTAAAAATATTTGGGATCTAAGTTTGTTTAATATCTCAGATGTTATTAAATAAAATAATTTTAATTTAGATTACCAAATTGAAAACATCGAGTATTAAGTTGCAAATTAATGAATGATTAATATTAGTTAATTAATTTAATTAATTAATACCAAATTTTATTTGGTGTTGATATAACGAAATTAATATTAGATTGAAAAATTACAAGTGAAAAATCAGATTAAGTTATATCAAGTCATCTTTGTTAACGTGGTGAGGTAATAATAATTATAAATTTATTTATGGTTCCTTATTATCATTTGTTTTTATTATTATTTTTAATTATCATTTGTCTTACTATTTTTCTTAAATAAAAATTATTTATTAAAACGATCAAAAAAAATTTAGGACTTTTTTTTTTTGAATTTATGCAGTATGTTATAACTTTGTATCATCAAAAAGTGAAAGGGAATTCTCAATTAGATAATTATTTTTTATTTTATACAAGTATAATTATGTATTTGCTTTAATAAATTTTTATAGAAAATCATATGTGCAAATTAACAAAAAAACGGATAAACCAACTTTTAACATTTTCAATTCCAATTCTCATATTAAATAATGAAAATCGGATGGAAAGTGTTAAAGACTCGATCCAATTTGTAATTTAGTTTTATTAATACTTTTTTAACGAAAATTTATAGAAATAACATAAAATGAATATTTTCGTTGAAGTCTTAATTTAATATATAGTATGATGGCATAATGATGAGCCAATTAATCATGGAAAGATATATTAAATATAAAAATTTTATTTATACTTTTATTTATATATTTTTGACACTTTGCAATTATAATAATAATAATAATTGAAATTTACAATATTATCTAATATATATTTTTTATTTTTATAAAATAATATGAAGATATTAAATAGATAGCATCGAAGACATGCATATATCTACATGTTGTATAAGCTTATTTTAACTTGAGCATTTAATATCTTATTGAAGTTTAAAAGCTTATTTTAACTAGATAGTTTTATATTGGTATATTTTATTGAAGATATAAGAAGCATGATAATAATTCTAATAATAACAACGATAACAACAATAACAAAATCACTATTTTGTAGTTTATTATTCTTTGATGTGATGATAAATAAAAAAAAAATAATTATTAAATCCTCTAAAAAATAATATTTATAGACGATTTAATAATAATATTAATATTTATTAATGATATAAGATAACATTTTTTAAACGATTTAATAAATATTATTAAATCGTCAAAAATAATAATATTTGTTAAATCATTTAAAATCTTATTTCTTAGGCGATTTAATAAATATTATCTAAAAATAATATTCTTTAGACGATTTACAGACGATTTTATAATAACATTTATTAATCGTTTATTAAATCGTTTAAAAATATTATCTTAACGATT